AACGTAATAAAAGACCAAATCAAAATGCTTTTTAGAAGCATGAGAAAATAACTGACAAGCAGTCAAACAATTCTTCGTAGTCAGAGTTGGTGTCTTTTAAGCAGGTAACTAAGCTGCTCTGTGGCTGTTTTTTTGCATAAAAAAACACTCTCCACACAATCACCTCACGTTAAAGAATAAGTACCGCTTTCAGCAGATATCACCAAAACTGCTATATCACCAAAATTCCCCACTCCAGGATCTCAATTCAGGACATGGTAAAGAAATTCATTACAGTATATTATCACCTGTGTGCTAACCTGAGAAACAATTCTACAAAGATGCTGAGACTTTTTGGCAAAGCTTTCAGTGATTTAAGGTCCCTTCCCTGACCAGATAGGTTACTATGTGAGAAGGGATTTTGTAACAAAAAACCAAAAAACCCTCATGTACTGCGTCATGAACTAAGCCATATTCTCGCATTTGAAAAGCCTCCAATATTTGGAAACTTTTTTTAATCACCTGAGAGCACACTACTGAAAAATTCTTAAAAAGTAAATCTGAGCAAAATAAACTTAGAATGTATGTCCAGAGTTTTTAGGACTGAAAGGCTGTCTTTTGAACTTCCACTTCCTAACAATGACAGCAGCACAAGGAACCTTACAGAAAGCCACACAGCTGCTTTTCATGATACTATATTATATCCTTACTCTATTGTCAAAAAAAAAAAATCAAAAGGTGAAATGTTTGAAAGTGTTTAAAAAAGCCACCTACCCAACTAGAGTGATACATGCCATCATTTCTTCTCATGTAATTGCTGGCTCAAAAAAACCCCTCAATACAGCTTAAAGTCATCTGAGCACTTTGAAATGCAATTGAGGAGATTAAAGTTAAAAATCTAGAAGGCAGGTTGGGTCAAAATGATCAGCAGCATGTTTTGGACACCTTAGGATGCAACTCTCCAACAAATCACTTGTTCAACGAGAACGAACAGAAGGCATGAATATTCAAGAAGTGAAACTCTCCAGACTAGTGAAAGCTTGGCTTAATATCCAAAATTACCTTTTGCAGATACTGTTTCAAATGTTTGAAACAATTCAACTTTTCAGAAGAGCTGCATAATTTGCCAGGAATTTAAAAAACATTAAACTTAACCTTTTTGACAGGTGTCAGATCTCACGAATATCTAATATTCAGAAATAAACTCTCAATTCTAATCTACTGAGTGTACTCATTTGAACGAAGTGATTCACATCGTGAGTTCACGTGATCGGTATCTGCACCTTCGTTGTCAGAAAAACAGTTTCCCAGCCTCACGTACCCAATGCTCAGAGATCAACTTGTCAGGCGTGAAATGCGACAGTACACCTACCACAGAAAAAGGTAGGCCTATTAGCTTTAGGAAAAGGTACACGAGAATTTTCAAGTTCGTTAAAACGCAAACTGCAGGTTTCTCTGGAACTTTACTTTAAAAGCCGAGCAATTCCTAGCTAATTTATGTAGAAAAATTCCGACTCCTAGACAGGTTTCTTGTACAAGCTTCTACAAGGAAAGCCTGAGAGAGCTGGAAAGGATTTTTTTTTTAACTGGTTTGTCTCCGACATCCCTGTAAGAATGAATGTATCTGCAGAACAATAAGGGATTAATACATTGTGATACGAGTTTCAGTACATCAAAAGCAGAGGAGCTGGTCTCCTCACTCCCTAGTACTGACAGGAATAGTCTTTGCCAGGAAACTGAAAATTCAGTCATTTTTTGAACCTTTAACAGAGTGCTCTCATAATACAATTTAGTACCTCATGAGCATAACCTACAATTTAAATTTGATGAAATGCATGTTAAAGTCCACCATTAAAATTACTCTTAAATAGAGCACAAAATTATCAAAGGCTGAAACTGCAAAGAAAGTTGAAGTCATGTTCTCTCTAATTAGATATGTTTACCAGTTCACTACTGGTTCACAGCCGCAAAGAGAAAGAATAGACCAAACTGGAAACAAAGTCTCACAGATAACAATCTGACCACAGCTCTTTCAAAGATGTACTAACACCCCAATTGTTTTAGGTTATTTGCTTCCTTTGCTTCATTTTAAATCCTTGGCAATGTCAGGTCTGGCACATCAGCAAGTCTTTAGTAACTGCTTACTTTGAGCTTAGTTGCAATGCAAACTATGAAGAGTTTTTCCTGGGTTACACATGAGGGAAAGACAACTTCTGGTGATGTTCCCTTACATAAGCAGGACAAAGCAAATGAAACATATTTTTACCTTACATACAGCAAACATGCCAACAATGCATAGCAATGGCCCAAAACCCATCTTGTAATGATTTTAAACACACTTTCTTATTTGTGGCATGAGACTGGTGTAAATCCTAGAATCCCAGGCTGGTTTGGGTGGGCAGGGACCTCACAGCCGATCTAGTTCCAACCCTGCCACAGGCAAGGACAACCTCCA